CTCTGTCCAGCATGTGTGCATCCATGGCATGGTCTGCAGTAAAGGAAGATCGTGTGTAGAAATACCCTCTGTCCAGCATGTGTCATCCATGGCATGGTGCCATTCAGCCTGTGCAGTCCTTCCTCACGAGACCCTCCTGTGGGGGGTTACCTGCATTGTTCCCAGCGCTGCACTGCAGTCACTGGGGAAAGCCTTCTGAGGGAGGAAGTTGGTTCGTTTCCTAGGACTGCTATAACAAATACTGCCAAGTAGGCGGTGGAAACCAGTCGACATGTAAACTCTCACAGTTCTACAAGCCCAAAGGCTGACATCAAGGAGCCAGCAGGGCCAGGTTCTCCTGAAGGCTCGCAAGGGAAAGATCCTTGCTTACCTCTTCTAAGGTTTGGTTTCTGGCATTCCTTGGCTCGTAGATATACCTATCCCTTCAGTCTCGGCCTGGGTCTCTCCTGGCTGGGGACCCACTCGCCCTAGACGTGACCTCATCTTCACCTGACTGTGTCTGAAAGACCCTAGGAACCCACCAAAGTAGTGCACACAGGCGCAGGGACCACGGGCACAGCCTTGGGGGTGGAGGAGATGCAGTTCAACCCACCACGGGGAATTATCATAGCCTTTGCACAGGCTCACCCTGCTGTCTGCCTGCACAGTCAGTACTTCTAGCCACCACAGGTAACACAGATACAGACCCCAGAGGGCGTTGTGAGCCCCAAGTAAAGTAGCACGTGAGACATGAGGAGCACCCTGACCCGCTCAGAGTAATGCTCGCTCAGTGGTGGGGGTGGTGATTGCTTCCTCTCCGGATTGAGTGGTGGTATGGGATACGTGCGGCTGCTCCTGTAAAGGTTTATTCTTGGAAACCCTCTATGAGGTTGCTATGAGTCAGTTGGAGCCCTTGTATCGTAGGAATTACAGGAGTCGGGCTGCTAACTGCAAGGTCAGCAGTTCAAAACCACCAGCTGCTCCTCATGAGAAAGGGTACTTGCTAAAACAGGCCAAGGCAGCCCTCTCCAGATAACACACGCCCCTGCCCCTGGACACATTTACCGGGCATGCCTGTGTGGGCCCCCAAGGGCCCTTAGAGAGCCATTGTTGAACCTCGGAGGCCAGACTAGAGGGAATGCCCCCATGGTCACCTTGAAGCACAGGAGTAGAGAGAATGCAACATCACAGTGGGCGGGTCCCAGGAGCCCACCACTCTCTGTCTGTCTGATATGACACATGAGGCCCTGGGACTCAGCTCCCAGGCAAGGGGAACCCTCTCTACCTGGGCTTTTTCATGCTGCATGCTCATCTCACCAAGGCTTAGTACAGCCCGCCTCTCTCTCTCGTGCCACGTGCCTGTCACTGTGCAGGAACTCTGTTCCTTCAGTCTGTCGGCTCCTGTGCCACAGCCCCTATGGAGAGTAGCATCTGTATGTCTACTCATGGCTCTACCCCTAAATGATCCAAACGCCACTAATACTCATCACCTCAGCTGTGGCCACCACAGCCGGAGTCCTTGCAGGAGCCCCGGCTCGTCTCCAGCGTCTACCCTGGCAGCCGGAGGGGACTTCCTAAAACTGAAAATTGGATCCCAGCACTACCCTCTTTGGAACACACTCACAGCTTCTCAGCCTACTAAAAACAAAACTGGACACCTCCCTATGGCCTCATGGTGCTGTGTGGCCTCCCCCTCCCCTGACCACTTCCTCTCTGCCTCACCATCCCTGCTCTCAACTCCTCTGTTCGCCAGTCCCGTTCCTGCCCCAGAGCCCTTGCATGTGGCTGTTATCACGACCCAGGAGGCTCTGAACAGCCAGCCCTCTGCTGTCATGTGTGCAGAGGTCTCTGTGTGACGTGCTGAAGCTTCCTTCTACTGCTCGCCGACCCTGGTCCTTTGTCCTTCAGAGTGTGGGTCCTGGTCTATCGTTACACTGTGTCTGTGCAGGCCCAGCCTGAAGCAGGCACGACATGGGACCCCGCCAATCCATGAAGACTCATGTTCCTATATCCCCCACTGCACCCTTCTGCCGTGTGCGTGCTCATGAGCTTTGCAGCCCCTGGCGACTATTTACCGAAGCGGGATGTAGAATAGAGCCTCTATGGCAGTGGTTCTCAATGTGTGGGTGGCGACCCCTCTGGGGGTCGAATGACCCTTTCACAGGGGTCACCTGATTCAT